AGGAGTAACAGGAGGGGAACAAGGTGGGAAATGGGTCGGGGACGAGTCCTGCAGAGGAAACACAAGACCGTGAACTGGAAGGGGAGGAGGCGACGGGGGAGGCGCAGACGAGCGGTCGGGGAAGGGAAGGCCGAGCGGCATCGATGAAGGGCGGACACCGGTGGCGACTGCTACTACTCTTGTTCGACGCCGACACCTGGACCGCTAGCTGCACCACGACCACCTCCAAAACACCCCTACCACACTCCACTCTAGCACCCCAAGAACGAACACCCCTAGAGCGAGAACCCTCTCCAGCACCGGTGCCACCCCTGAGCCCACTGGGACCACAGGACTAGCAACGCCAGCACCCCCAGAGTCCACGAACGTCTGCTGCTACTACGACGACAGCGGCTGCTGCGGCGGCGGCTATAGCGGCGACGGCTGCTGCGGCGGCGGCGACTGCGACGGCGGAGGAGGAGACACCGGAGGAGAGACAGGCGGCGAGAACTGCGCAGCAGGGCCACCAGAGTCAGCCGACTCCTCAACCGGGACAATCGACGGGAGGGGAGTGACGTGAGACACACCAGACGGAGAAGGACGGGGAGGAAGGTGAGTAGGGGCTACCGGAGGAGTGGGGATCAGAAATAGGGGAGGGGAAACCGGGAGACCTCGGTGGGGAAAGAGGTGGTTAGAGGAGACAGACTCGTCAAAATTGGCGTCACGGGAGTGAAAGAAGCGGTGAGACAGCGGGTGGTAAAAGTGCCAGTCAGACGAGTCCAGGGGGAAACCGAGGAAGACACAGTGGACAGTGTCGGCTGTAAGCTTGTCCGTGCCTGAGGCACGAACGTGAGAGAGGCAGCCCCAGACGTGGAATGCGGACGCGTCACCAGGGAACCCGGTCCAGAGGAGGGTCGGCCAAACCTGCGGCCGCTGGGAGCGTGGCCACAGGTTAAGCTGGTTAGCGGCGTAGCGAACGGCGAACGGCCGCAGAAAATGGGGTGCACCAGCATCAATCATGGAGGTACGAGCCATCTCCGTGACCAAACCGATGCGTCACTCAGCGACCCCATTCTGCTGCGGGGGGTCCGATAGGGTGTACGAATGGGTGATGCCCTCCGCACGAGAAAACTGTCCAAGCCGACCAGAGGCGAACTCGCCGCCACGGTCGGAATGGAGACACAGCATAGGAAGACCTCGGTGGAGGTGCGCAGCTACGACCCACGGGATAAGAACGCCACGCACGTCAGCCTTCCGCTCCAAGGGAAACACCGTAGTGTAGCATGTGAAATCGTTAACGAGCACTAGAAAGTAGCGCTCGCGACGCGGTCCGAGGATGGGGGTTGGGCCCCGGAAGTCCAGGTGCAGGGTTTGGACGTGTGCGGTGGTAGGGCGAAGCGAGGAGGAGTAAAGAGCACGGCGCAGCCGACCCTCAACGCAGGGCGTGCACGGCGGCGTAGGCGAGGGAGGGAGGGTCGAATGCGATGCAGGGAGTCCTAGGATGAGTCCGTGCTGAGACATGTGACGCATACGCGGGAGTGCGGGGTGACCTAGGCGGTGGTGCCATAGAAGCGACGGGCGAGTGAGCGACCAACATGAGCAAGCCGCAGCGACCTGGGTAGACGTTGGACCCGGGAAGAACGTGTCCACCGGGGGGAAGCAGTGTCCAGCGTAAACAAGCCAGACACCGGGTCCGGGTGAACGTTGCAAGGGTGGAACCTGAGGCACCCTCGGTACAGACAGCGTACCGCTCGTGACCAAGGAATGTAGTGGTGACGCCGAGGTCTTGACGACAACCGACACCCACTAAGTTCCTGGAGAACGAAGGGAAATGCAGGCCTATAAGGAACCCGAGGGGACCGCTGGACATGGAAGGGTAGTGTATCTGCGGTCAATGACAGGACCAGAAGAGGGGTTAGCAAGTGTTATTGCTGCGGGCGTGGCAACCGGCGTGAGTGTGGCGTGGTCGCGGAAGAAGCAGGCAGACGCACTGGAGTCAAGGGTGAAGGACAGCGAAGCAGTTGCGGTAGACAAAGGAGGAGCGAGTGTGGAGCCTAGGCTAGATAAAGCAAACTGTCCTACGCTTGACGTAGCAGGGGATTCTGTACTACATATAGGTGCTACGCCTAAGCCAGAGAACACAAGGTAATAAGATCCGGACACACTAGAAGCATTAGCATACAGAGAATACAGGGAATAACTTATCTGATCCATGTCTAATATAAAAATAGGCACACCGTGGCGCAGCAGACTGGGCCAGTCACGGTGGTCCAGGGCCGGGCCGAAGCGGCGACGAAAGAGGTCGTCGAGGTGGCAGAAGCAGTGGACGGTCGGGTGCGGGCAGCGGCACACAGTGCCACGGAGGGGCCCGGTCTGGAGCTCATACTGGCAGCTCACAGCACGGAAGCTGCCGGTAGACGCCGAGCTGCGAGGGCCGTCACCGCGGCCACCACCTCTAGAGGCTCCTGGCCACCCCGGGGGGAGGCGGGCCCACGGCTGCTACAGCTGCTGCGGCTGCTGCTTCTGCTACTGCTGCTCTTGAACACCAGCCCCAACCCCCTCGTCAGAACCACTGTCCCCACCACCACCACTACCACCGCCACGCCCTCCCTTGGGGCCGCGACGGCCCCGACGCTGTCGGTGCTGCCTGAAGACCGCAGCTGTGGAATCAGCGGTAGGGGCAGCCATAGCGACCGTGGCGGAAACGTCGGTGTACGTGCACTGGGAGGGAGCACAGCCCTGAAAGATAGGGACTGCCGCAACACCGCTCGACTGAGCGATAGTGTGCTGGCGAGCCTCTATCTCAGATAGGGCAGTGACGAAGGCGTTCAGGGTGAGGTCACCAGGGTGCTTGCTAAGGAAGTGGTCGCGGATAGTGGCTAAGAGGTCAAACATGCGCATGTCAATAAGGTACAGGGTAGCGCAAAACAGTGGGGGGGAGGCAGTGAGCTGGGCGGCAGTGCTAGCAGCACAATAGCTAGTCTCTAGTGCACGGAGGTGAGTGGCGAGGTCAGCGATAGTGGGAAAAGCGGAAAGATCGGGGAATAGCATGGGGAGGATCAAGCGGCCAACAGAGGCGGAGGCGGGTGTGGAGTAGCGCGCAACTACTGCATCTAGGAAATCCTTGGCGTTCGCGACAGCAGTGAAGCGCGGACGCTCAGACAGGGGAAGCGCACGACTAATGGCGAGCTGCGCTACAACATCGCGAGAATCCCAGACAGCGCGAGCGAGCGCAGCAACAGAAAAGGCATCACGCATAGCAGTGGTGGGGACAGCAGGGAGGGGATCAGGTGCGGGGGGGAAGGGAAGTAAGCCATCAACATGCATAGCCAGGGAGTGCCCATCCTGGCGCTAACCTGTCAGATGACGGCGAAGATCGACAAGCCAGGCGGTGAAGTCAATCGCGTGCCCCTCCACGTCCAGGCGAAGTACGGCGTCCACCATCGTGCAACCTCAGCGTCACAGCTCCCGGCGGCACAGCGTCACGGCGGCACAACGGCACGGCAACACATCGACACAGGTACTCAGCGGCACGGCGGCACAGCAGCGCGGTGGCAGGACTCTCCGCCGGGAAGACCGAGCGGAAGGTCGAGCAGGGCGCACATGTCCCGAGGCGCGCAGCAAGCCGGCAAGGCGCGATGAGTCGGCAGGGCGCAAGGGGCCGGCGGAGCGCTGGGGCCAGGTGGGGCGCTAGGGCCAGTGGGCGCTCGAGGGGCCGGCGGGGCGCGAAGGGTCGGCGAGGCGCTAAGGGCTGGCCAGGCGCTAAGGGCTGGCGAGGCGTGAAGGGGCCGGCGCGGCGCGATGGGCCGGCGGCACGGGAGGGGCCGGCGCGGCGCGAAGGGCCGGCGGGCACGGGAGGGGCCGGCGAGGTACGCGAGGAGCCGGCGAGATACGCGAGGAGCCGTCGGGGTACGGGAGGGGCGAGCGAGCATGCGAAGAGCCGGGCGGGTGAGCGAAAGGCCGGCGAGTACGCGAGGGGCCGGCGAGTACGCGAGGGGCCGGCGAGTATGTGAGGGGCCAACGAGCACGCGAGGGGGGGGGGGGCGAGCACGCGAGGGGCCAGCAAGGCGTGCGGGGGGGGAAGCAGGCACGCGATTGGGCCGGCGGGGTACGCGAGGGGAAGGCGGGGTACGCGAGGGGAAGGCCGGGTACGCGAGGGGAAGGCGGGGTACGCGAGGGGAAGGCCGGGTACGCGAGGGGAAGGCGGGGTACGCGAGGGGCAGGCGTGCACGCAAGGGGCCGACGGGGTACGTAAGGGGCCAGCGCGGCGCTAAGGGCCGGCGAGGCACTAGGGGGCGGCGGGTACGCTAGGGGCCGGTGGGGCGCTTGGGGCCGGCGGGGTGCTAGGTTCCGGCGGGGCATGGCTATCGTACGACGGGACGGTAGGCTAGGGCGATGGGCGGACCTAACCTACTATAATACCATGTTAGAATAACAAAATGACTAGAAACAAGAGAGAACAAGGAAGATATAAGATTGGAGTTGTACCCTCTGAGAACACAAACCTATCTAGCCTATAACTTCTACTGATAAATATATGTATAAGTTGACACTTCCTACCTAGCTAAGCCCTCTTTCCCACATAAAAGCCCCCCCACATTTTCAAAACAGTCCCCTAAACGCCCCTAGGGGCGTATATCCAGGGGAATACAATACCTTGGGGTTTGGCTGTGGGGAGTTTAATCAAGTCGACAATGACAGCAGTAATGGTGTACTAAGGTTGCCCTGTCTGCATAGGTGTAATAATTCCTGTGATAAATATATGATTCATTTGATAAGGTACCATGAAACGGCTCCGTTTCAATCTGGTTAAAGAACAAGACATAGTACTTCTGTATTTTTTTACGCTAAAAGCTCAGCGAGACCGCAGGATAATGACGAATGAAGGACTACCACTGGTAACGAGTCCGGTTTTCGCGTTTCACATAGCCCTCGGGAACACGGCGAATATTTGAATCATGAAACACGCCGAGCGCAGTGCGTTGCATGTCTTTCTCACACTCACCTCGTACTAATGCGTCCCTATCTCATTGCGTTGCACCAGTCACATCAATCCCTCCCCAGGGCGAGTGGGTGCCATGGCCTCGACTGAAGAAGCCCCGCAAGCTCGTTCTCTCAGCCAATGCTGACTAGTGCTTGAGCTGTCTGGAATCGAAGCAATCAGTTTCTTGGCTTCCATCGCCTAGGTTCCGATCAGGCGCTATACCGGCCGAGCTGGTCCTCATTCACCAGCCAAAAGCTGAGGCGCCTCGATATTTGCGAGTACTATCGGCGATCTGACTTCTTCCTTCGTCTTGATCGTCGTCGCTGTCTCGCCGTCTTCTTCGTCTTCTTCGTCTTCTTGTTCTTCTTTTCTTTCCTTCGTTTTCCACGCGCTTCGTCTTCTTTCCTCATCACCCGAAGTCGCTGGTCCAAGGCTGATTCGCTTCGTGACGAGCCAACATACCGACCGGCGGCACCGGCACGCCATGAGCTGGTTCGTCCTAGAGGAGATTAACTCCTGTCCCGCGTCGCGTGTCGGCGACGGCCGACCCGGTCCGTCCCGCGATGCTGCCGAGGCGCAGCGCTGGCGAGCGGAATCGAGATCGGAGCTAAGGGACCATGGCGATACGCAGACGGCGCACCGGTGTCGGTCGGAGGCGAGAGGGCAGGGGAGGGAGGAGAGGGAACGACTGCAAGCACAGCGGCGGATGGAGCCGAGAGAGCCGAGAGAGCACCGGATGGAGCTAAGAGGGCATCGGACGGAGTCGAGAGAAGCGAGAGAGCAGCACGTGACGCATGGCGGGTTGCACGGCGGGTGGCATGAGCAGCAGCAGCACGATGTCGAGCTGTCCGACAGCCAGGGACAGGTGGACAGCGACGGTGACGTGGCAGACGACTTTATCGAGGTGGAGCGCTGCCCGTATCCTCGCGATCCCCGCGAACCCTGCGACGACTCGCACTCTCCCCGTGGACGGACGCGCGACGACGGCATCAACTGCGACCCCTGCGGCGGTGGCGGCGGCGGCGGCGGCGGCGGAGGTGGCGGTGGCAGCGGCAGGAACTGGTGGCAGGCGGAGGAAGAAGCAGCCGCCATGCGAAGCACTCGGGGACGAGGAGAGGCGTCAGGCAGAGGGAAAGCCGAGGTGATCGATCTCACTGGAGTTAGCGACGACGAAGACGGAGGGAACGGGGCGTTTGAGGCATCTGGGGCGTTTGAGGGGGCATGGGGGGGCACGGCGCCTGCGGAGGACTTGAGCGTGGAAGTGGAGTGCAGCTTCTGCCGTGTGCTCACCCCAATCACTCACTCCTTGGACCTCCCCCGCTGCTCCTGCCTCCTCTGCCTCTCCTGCGCCCGTGCGTCCTTCCAGCCCCAACTGCTCGATCTGGTAACGTTGCTGGTGAAGGAGAAGCAAGCAGCAGAGAAGCAGGCGCGGGAAAACCACCCGTCGCCGGCCCGTTCCGCTAACAGCAAAGATTTTATGGGCTGCCCGTGCTGTGCTCAGCCAGTTCCGGCCCTCCACGTGCAAACGCTCCTGCCCGAAGAATTCCGGCAATGGGAGGAAGCAGCGACTTCGGCGGCCCTCGCGGCGTTCTCCCGGGCAGATGAATTTGTCCGCTGCCCCGGGTGCGATGTGCTTGTGGAGAAACTGCCCGCGGAACCGCCACCTGGCGCGATCCTATCGGGCGTTCCCGAGATCGACCGAACGGCGCCTATGGCAGAGAGAGACGAGGAAGGGCGGGTGCTTACACGGGAAGCGATTCTGCATAAAGCGGGGAATAGGTTTCGGTGTGGGGAGTGTGCGGTGGTGTTCTGTGGGGCGTGCCGTGTGCATCCGTACCATCTTGGGCTGTCCTGTGCTGCATATGCTGCCCGGCTCGCTGCCCCCAAGTGCTTGTTCTGTGGGGAGAGAGTTGAAGGGGGGATGGGAGACTGGGCGGAGTGGGGCAGTGGGGGAGGAAGAGGAGGAGGAGGGGAAAGGGGTAGTGGAGGGGGGAGAGATGGATTAGATGCACCAGCAGCAGCAGTAGCAGCAGCAGCAGCAGCAGCAGCAGCAGCAGCAGCAGCAGCAGCAGCAGCAGCAGCAGATGGGGGCCGTGAAAGTGGCTCTGGGGCAGAGCGCAAGAGGCAACGTGAGCTTGAGGCAGCGAGGCAACTAGTCAAGCTTATAGCTCCTGATTGCAGCAACAGCGGTGGCAGCAGCAGCAGTAACAGCAACAGCGGCAGCAGCAGCAGCAGCAGCAGCAGCAGCAGCAACCGGTGGGCTTGGAGCGTGCGGGAGATGCGGGAGCTGCTAGCAGCAGTGGGAGCGGACACAGACTGGTGTGTGGAGAAGTATGACTTAGCAGCAGTGGCGGCACTGGCGGCGCGCGTGTGTGGAGAGGAGCAGTGCAGGGGGCGGCTGAGGGGAGCATGCACGCGCACGAGTCCCTGTGGCCATCCTTGCGGGGGCGTGCGAGGGGAGGTGCATTGCCTGCCGTGCCTGCAGGATCCATGTCTTGGGAAACTCAACGCTGCTGTTGCTGCTGCTGCTGGTGCTACTGGTGCAGCGGCTGGTGTGGCAGCTGGCAGCAGCAGTGGTGCTGCTGTCAGCACCAGCCAAGTGGCCAGCAAAGCCAGTGCTGGGCACCCGTCATCCTCCGCCGTCCCTCCTCCCCGCGTGTGGCCGCCCCTCCCCTCCGCCAGCGACTTCTGCCCCATCTGCTGGGTGGAGCCCATCTTTGCCGCCCCCGCCATCCGCCTGGCGTCGTGTGGCCATGTGGTGCACGTGGGGTGTGCGCGGGAGAAGATCCAGCGTTCCTACCCCGGCCCTGACATCTCCTTTGTGTTCCTCGCCTGCCCCCTCTGCCCGGCTACCACCATGGCGCATCCTGCACTGCAGGCGGAGCTTGCTGCGCCTCTGGGGCTGAAGCAGCAGGTGGAGGGTTTGGTGGTTGAGAGGATGAGGGCGGAAGGGATGGCTGGGGGTGATGGTGGGGGTAACGGGGTGGGTGGGACGGATGGGGGTAATTGGGATGGGGGGGGCAGGGAGTGGCGTGGGATGCATGATAAGCATGGTGGTGTGGATGGGAGTAGGGAGGGGAATGGCAGTGCTGGCAGGCGGGGATTGCGGAGTGGGAAAGGGCAGGATCTTGGGCGTAGGAGCGTGAATGGGAGGGAGAGGAATGGGAAGGGGGGTGTGGGTAGTGATGTGATGATTGGGGCGCTGCGGCGGTTCCTGTTCTTTCTCTGCTCCCGCTGCCAGCATCCATACTTTGGTGGCGACAGGAGGTGCGGTGCCGGACCTGCTGGTGCCGAGCCCGATGATCAGGGTGGATATGGTGGGCCGGGGATAGGTCAGGAGGGAGGAGGTAGGGAGGGAGGAGGGAAGGAAAGAGCAGGGGGGAGAGGTGGGGCGAAGCCAAATAGAAATGAGCTGGTATGTGGTGATTGTCTGGCAGCTGAAGCCTTGGCGAAGCAAAGGGAAGCTGCTGCAGCTGCTGCTGCAGCCGCAGAGAAGCAGCGGGGCAGAGAGAAAGACAAGGACAAGGGCAAAGAAAAAACAGCTGGAACCCCGGGATTCAGTGGTGGGGAAGATGGAAAGGAGGAGCTGTGGGAAGCTGGTCCATGCACTGCCGATCACAGCCGGGGTTTTGTCCAGTTCAAGTGCCGCTTCTGCTGCTCGGTCGCCTCTTATTTCTGTTTCGGCACCACTCACTTTTGCGCCAAGTGCCATGAGACCCGCCCCGATTCATCACGCTCGTCATATGTTGTGCCGCAATGCACTGGTGGAGACAAATGCCCGCTGCGCGTGACGTGGCATCCCAGAGCTCCGGAGGAGTATTGCCTCGGCTGTGCTTTGTGTCGGTTACCAGGAAAACGGCAGGCACGTGCGCAGGCGTGAGGGCAAGATAGAGATCTCAGAAAACATGGATAGTGGATAGTTGAACCACTAGTGAGGTATGGGTGAATCAAGTGCTTTTTTGGGTTGCGGAGCAACCTAAAGCAATCGACCAGGCAAAGAAAAAATCATCGTAAATAGTAAAATACACTAGGAAATACCACAAATACCATAGAATTGTTCTGCTAGCTTGTGTGTGTTCCGTTCAATGTGCTAGGGATCCGACATAAAAATTGGAAATATGTGCATATATTTTCAATTAACGCACAACAGATTAAAAACCATGAAACTAATGGAAAACAAATGTCGATAATTTGTTTCCTACCATTTCCTCCTTTTATTCTACCTAGCGAAAAATACAACATATTGTGACACGACTTTCAGAGGAGTGGGTGTTGAGTGACCCGCTGGGGTTGCCCTTGAGATCCTCAGGGAAGGGCCACAGGTGCAGAGCCTGGGGGGCTATGGGCGCACTTACCCGCTATTTAACAAGCCCTTTTAACCCAGTGGTTAGTGGCTGGGTTTCTGACAGTCGTACCTCGCCGAGCTGAAGACCGCAGTCAAACGACAAGTGGCAGCGACAAACTACGCGAGCTACAGTGACGTCGTATCGACCGCGTGGTCAACACCGGGACACGACGGACGCACATTGGCAGTACGCGACAGGGCGACCGCTCGGCTCACACCATGTTCGCCGACTTGATGGAAGTCGACAGGTTCGAAGGGCGGCCATGTCCGAAAAACATCAACTACACGTGTGAAACCTGCGAGGTGCCAGGTCATCGAATCTTCGACTGCAACAAAATGAAAGCCGCACGCGCTGAGTATCGGGAACGCAACAGTGGCGGAAATCCTTTGGCCAATCAGAAGCCAAAAACGGGACTCAGTGATTGCGGATCTAGCTGGCGAACAAGGAAAAGATCCGAAAGCGGCCGCAGACTTCCGGAAAAATCAACTTCGACGCAGCTGATTCGACGCGAACAGGAGAAAATGACGGGGAAAAATCTCCACCCTACGACCAGTCTTCGCCAGAGGAAATCGCCGAGGAAAAATCTAACTCCGCGAAAAAGGACTCTGCCAAGACGGGGAAACTCCTTGAAGACCCAAGAAATTATAAGGATTCGTTAAAGTTATCTTACAAAGATGCTTTAATGAAAAGTTGTAATTCTCGAGGGGCAAGAGCCTTGGAGAAAATTCGGGAGGGACTCCAGAAGAAGCAGAAAATTGTGGAGATCGTACCGGTACCAGAAAAATTGGGGACCAAATTAAGGAGTGTGGAAAGAAGCCGACCTTTCCACGGAGTCAACGTCCTCTCCCGACACCAGCCCACAGCGACTACCCGTTCCTAAGGGAAGACGTCGGTGGAGCTGAAGCAGCTCAAAAGGAAGCTAGGGGTCTACAAGAAGCTGCAAAGACCCCGAACTCCTTCTTTGGATGCATCCAATTCGGCAACTTCGTCAACGACACGAACAGTCGTCACGAAAACTCCGGGCCCTGGAGAAGAGCCATTCTCCAAGCAGCCTCAGCCAGCTGCCAGCTCACGAGTAGGAAGCAACGAATACTAGGATGTACCCTATGACCCAATCAATGAAACTATCTTTGGGTACTCCGAGCGACGCCTGCCCCTCGTGCTCGAGGTCATCTGCAAAGGACGACGCCTCCAAGCACTCGTGGACAGCGGAGCATCACACATTGTATGCGACAAGGCAACCATCGACCGACTTCGAGAAGAGTACAAGTCATCAGCGTTTTCTGCAACAATGGTGGACAGCAGCAAGTTACCAGTGTACGGCGAAGCAGTGCTACACCTACAAATCGGTCTACTGCGCTGGAAACCTGCTCTCCCCATCACCAACATAAAAGGGCTTGACCTGATCTTTGGGCGAGACTTCCTCAAGAAATTCAACCCCGAGATCAACTGGATAAACCGCACCGCAGGCATCTACAACAAAGGAAGGAGAGTCCAGCTACCCAACTGGGACGATACAGGAGATATCCCAGTGGAGACACTCGCCAGATTCGAGAAGGAAGTGAAACGAACCGACACCGGGTTCCTGGCGATAGCAACAGAGGTGGAGAATGACGGAGAGAAAGCCTCGGAACCTCCAGAAAAAATCAAGGACTTACTGAAGGAGTTCCAAGACATTCTTCGGGACGACCTCCCGGACGAACTACTGCCATACCGAACGCACCAGCACGACATCGTGGAGGAACCAGGTTCGAAACCGACCTTCCGAGCACGGAATTGGCTAAGCCCCACACAACTAGCCGACATGAAGAAGCAGATCGAGTATCTCCTCGCCAAAGGACTCATCCGACCATCCACTTCGCCATACGGTGCCCCAGTACTCTTCACACCGAAACCGGTAGGAAGCCTGCGCATGCGCATCGACTACCGAGCTCTTAACAAGCAGACCATTAAGAACAAATATCCGAGACCACGAATCGATGACCTGCTTGACCAATTTCGGGGAGCTAAGGTATTTTCAAAACTAGATCTGCGGTCCGGATACTGGCATATAAGAATGGCGGACGATTCCGTTCACAAAACTGCTTTCCGAACTCGGTACGGATCATACGAGTATTTGGTCATGCCGTTCGGACTCACCAACGCACCTGCAACATTCCAAGCAGAGATGAATCATATCCTACGCCCACTCTTGGACGAATGCATGGTGGTGTACCTGGAAGACATCCTCATCTACTCGCGCGACATGCAATAACACGTCGAGCACCTACGACGCGTCTTCGAAATTCTTTGTCGAGAATGCTTCTACATCAAACTATCCAAGAGCGACTTCGCCCTCGAAAAGGTCCAATTCCTCGGACATATCGTAAGCGCTCAAGAAGTTCACGTCGATCCCAAGAAAATCGAAGCCGTGCGTACATAGAAGACACCCGAGAACGTGAAGGAGTTACAGCAGTTCCTTGGCTTTGCTAACTACTACAACAGGTTCGTGCCACAATACGCGAAGATTGCTGCGCCACTCACGAATCTGCCAAAGAAGAACACGCCCTATAAATGGGAGCTACAACACCAGGAAGCCGTGGAGCAGCTGAAAGAAGCACTCACGTCCGCACCCGTACTCATCTTGCCACACCCTGAACGCGACTACGTCATCGAAGCTGATGTCAGCGACCAGGCAGTGGGAGCAGTCTTGATGCAAGACCAGGGGAATGGCCTGCAACCAATTGCCTACCTCAGCAAAAATTACATGGAGCAGAACTAAACTACCCGATACACGACAAGGAGGCCCTTGCTATCATCATCGCCTTCAAAACTTGGAGATGTTATCTCGAAGGACGCAAGGCGATAGTCTACACTGACCATTGCAGCCTAAAATATTTGAAGACGCAACCAAGCCTCTCCAGGCGGCAGGTCCGGTGGATTGACTTCCTCGAGACACACTTCCACTACGACATCGTGTACAAGCCTCGCCATAAAAACAAAGCCGACGTGCTTAGCCGGCCTGCACACGTTGCCGCTATCCAAGTTGAAGGGATGAATCCACTCCTCAAGGGACTCTTCACACACGGGTACACCATCGACCCCGAAATTCCCTTGGCAGAAAAGCGACATCTGCTACAGTGGGACAACGACATCGCGTACCGGAAAGGATCAATGAAGATCTGGGTACCTAATTACCCTCCATTGCACCAGTTACTACTCGAAGAATACCACGACGTCCTGTACGCGTGACACTTCGGTAGCAACAAGACGCTCACCGGTATCGCCAAACACTACTACTGGCCCCACATGGCAGATGACGTACACAAATTCGTCACCTCGTGCACTACATGTCAACGGATGAAGAGCAGCAAGCAGAAAAAGGCGGGTCTGCTATAGCCTCTTCCTGTCCCAGAACAGCCATGGCAAGTAGACAGCCTAGACTTCATCACCGGGCTACCAACTACCACAAGCGGTCATGACGCGATCCTCGTCTTCATTGACAAGTTCTCCAAAATGGGACACTTCATCCCGACACACACCACAGCACGCACCGAGGAGACAACACAACTCTTTGTTCGCTACATCATCTCACAACATGGCATTCCGACTACACTCATCTCTGACCGAGACCCTAAGTTCACCAGCAAATTGTGGAAAGAAGTGATGTCTCTACTCGGGACCAAACTCGCCATGTCATCCGCCTACCATCCGCAGACAGATGGACAGACCGAGCGCCTCAACCAAATTGTGGAGCAACTCCTCCGCGCAGCCTGCAAGGACGACATCTCCAAATGGGACTTGCATCTGCCCGTCCTAGAGTTCGCCTATAACAATGCTACTCACGCCGCTACTGGACAGACGCCGTTCTTCCTCTGTTACGGACGCCACCCACTCACACCTCAACAGCCAAACATACCAGCCACAATCCAACCCGCTCATGATTTCATCACAACCATGCACAAACTTTGGGATCGGACCCACAAGCGCCTTCTCGACATTCAGCATCAACAGAAGCGCCAAGTCGATCGCCACCGCACAGACCACACCATCACCGTGGGAGACTGAGTACTACTCGACACGCGCAATCTTGACGTCTGCCATCTCCCATCCAAACTGCGACCTCGCTTCAGCGGACCTTTTCTCATTGAAGCACAGGTCACTCCTGTTACCTTCCGCTTACGCCTGCCAGCTACCTGGAAGATTCACAATGCCTTCCATGTCCAACTCTTGAAGCCCTACCGAGATCCCAACACGGTCTTCTCTGGACGCCAACTGCCGCCGCCGTCGCCCGTCCTCGTCCATGATGAACCCGAGTACGAGGTCGAGTCCGTGCTTGCTCACCGCCGTCGACGGAATGGCAACATAGAGCTTCTCATCCGTTAGAAGGGTTATGATCCTTCAGAGGATAGCTGGGTCTCTGAATCCGAGATGGATCACGCTCGTCGCCCTCTTCTTGACTACCTTGTCAAGCAGGGTGTTACGTCTACCACCCAGCTTTGAGGGGGGGAGGTGTGAGAGTTCGACCCTGTTCCATTCCTTTCTTCTTTCCATTTGATTCTTCTTTTTATCTTGATTCATATGGTCTTTCTCTCATTCCATTTGAATTCCTATTCCCTCTTTTCCATTATCCTTTGGTTATCCTGTTATTATCATTATATCACCGGCCAGGCTCGGGATGTACTGGTACGCTATATCTAGCGTAATCCTGCCGTAATCCCTTAAAGCCAATAGCCTCGCGTGGCTATACGCAGGGTGATTCTATTTTCTAGAAGGGTCTATTCCCTTGGGATAGGA